TAAAACTTAGGGCACTGAATTTACCCCATTTGTACGGTTGACAAAAGATTAACAATTTTATAAGAAATTGGAAGCCCCACAAAAAAAATGGCTTGGTTTAGTACAAGTCATTAGATTCTTCTTAAAGTTGTCCATGAAGGCATTATTGGCAGATTAATATATTATTGGAACTTTTGGTTTGTTGTAAAGATATGCAATAAGGCATTCATTAACTTTTCCCCCAAACTTTTTGGCTTTTTTTGAAGATCTAAATCCCTTTGCTTTTGTTTGTTTCTTTAAAGAAAGATTAAGTTTTTTGGAGTAAATTAAAGAAAGAATAATTCTTTCTTTGGTTGTTGTACTTCAATTAGGATTTGATCCATGCCGACACAATGCAGTCCTTCAACTTTTATTTTTAGCAATCAAGTCTCTCTTCGGAATTCAACACGGTCAAGTACCTGGCAAAGCAATTGAATCTGATCTTAAAATTAAAGGGAGATAACAATATTTCCATGACAAACAGTTTTTAATTTGCAACAATCCAAATTATTTAACTAGATCCAACCAATTCAAATTGAAGTAAAACTAACTTTTGAACTGGATGAATTAGATAATTTTTAACAAAAGTAATTAATTTGGTTCTTTTGTTGATTTAGGATAGTATAGTAATCAACAAAGCCAAGCTAATTACTACATTTCAATAAATTAAAATTTTTTTAAAAAATAATATTTAGCAAGACTTATAAAAAAATTAGGTCAAAAAATACCACAAAACTATATTTCTCAATAAAGTATTGCCAAAAAAGACAAAAATAGTCTTATTTTGTACTTCCTCCGTTTCAAAATATAAGTCGTTTTAGAGTTTTTCACAGATATTAACAAATCAATTAATAACTTTAATTAAGAAAAAATTTATCTTTAAATTAACCAGTTTACCCCTTTTATCTCTACCTTAACGCTATCTTCTTATTTAAAGAATAGAGTTGATTTGCCTGTGCCTCGTATCAAATAAGATTTTCTTTTTATTGGGTAATGTGAAAGGTAAAAAATGATTTTCTATTCATGTTTATCTCCACAATTAATTAAGTACTACTTTTCCAATTCCATTATCACCAAAATATTCTCCATTGCAATTTCATGTCCTTTTATTTTCATTTTAGTTTCAATTGCAATTTTCTGAGTCAATATCACAATTTGCCATAGCATTCAAATCAATGCCTAGTGCAGCCTTCTTCCTCTCTCTTTTAGGCTTCCAACCCAAATCTTAAGGCATCTGCCCTTTATCTTCCATTGCTTCTCAATTATCTAAGAAATGACAATACTACTACCATATATAGCAAGAAGTGAACCTAATTAGGCATTGGTAATTTGAGAAAATTTAAATAGCCATATCAAAATTCATTTACTCTAAAGTTTGATTTTCTAAAAAGAAGAAATTGAGAAATGAACAGTTTATAACTTTTTATAATTATTAGGTAAAGGAGGATAAAATTAGAAAATAAAATATTAATAGTATATTAAAAAGTGAGAACGATTAATATAATAAAACAAAAAAAAAAAACTCTAAAATGACTTATATTTTGAAAAAGAGGGAGTACGTATAATAATAAATACTATTGATTCCTAATTGAAGGACTTAGTCACTGAAAACAAAAAGTAGGAGACTGCAATGTGTACCTAGGGAAAATAGAAGACCGATCATGCATTTATGCCATAGAAAACAACTCAGCAACAAAGGCATCTGACGTTGGCTTAGTTTCCTCATGCTTCCAATTTTTTTTAATAAAAAAATCGAGTTCATGCTTTCACTTAAAATGTTAATGCTCCACATATCTATTCTCCGATTCATCTGGGTCCCTCCACCTGCCATCTTTCATCTTTCCCAGCAACTTCTCCAGCAGACGTGTTCCTTTTTTATTGAATTTCTTTTCATTTTTTTATAAATAAAAAAGAGACTAAGCATTCAAAATTTTGGGATGTTTGTGCTATGTTTCTCTTTTTAATGAAAGAGATGTCCTAAAGGTAAACGACAATGGCAAGCGCATTTATTTGATGCATCCGCAGAATACACAAATGTCAATTTTGAATTTGAATTATATGGTGTATCTATTGGATGTAGAAGTAAATATTATTTAAGAAATTATATAATTTTCAAGTGTTGGAGTACAAGATCCTTTTTTCTCAGTGCTCTGGAAAGTGCTCTTCCCATTTAGGACACTGAAAAACATGAATTAGTCGCTGGATATATAATTAATGGTACTGAGGTTTTCAACTAAAAGTTGATTAGGAGGATTACATAGAGGTTGCTCCACTTTAATATCACTACTTAAGTATGCAGACCTATCTTATTGCCAACAAAAAAAGAATGCAGTCCTATTTGTTTTTAACCCACTAATACATTGGGCATAGTTATTGCCACACAAAAACACTATAGATGTGTTTGATTTTGTTGTTAGAAATAGTTAACAATTATACTAATATTTATTACTTAACAATTTAAAATTAGTTTATGAATTGATGTTTTTAAACACTTTAACCAATTATAAGTCCATAAAATTAGCTAAATCAACACATTTATAATGTTTTTGTGGGGAATGGTTATGCCACCCAATAAATTGTTAGGGCCACCCAAATTTTTTCTTTTTTTTCACTAAATAGTCAATTATGGTATTTGAAAATATTAGTGTGTAGAGTGATTTTAATTTGTTAAGTAATAAATATAAATTATTTTTAACTATTAAATTAAATAAAATTAATATTTTAAAAACTAAATTTGAAAATTTAAGTGACCGAATAATCGATTGGGCGACTATAACTATTCCGATTTTTGTGTGGCTCTAGGATTCTATTTTGCAGCAATAATCATGGCCCCGGACATCAGCCCACATTTTTATTATTCTTACAACTTAGTACTTACCTGCAGGGCCCAGTGCCGAAACAATTAAAGCCCAACATCGTCTGAAACTCGAGCCCAACCCAACATCTTGTTAATGTTGCAACAGAAATTTGGTGTAAAGGTATGAAATTAACGATTAATAGTACGAAATAATAGAACTAATAAGAATATTTAAAATTTAAAAAGTATCA